AAACTTGGCCTTCATTAAACAAGGGCAGATGTCCAAGTCAATTACCAGCGACGAACTCTTAAACAGCAGTGGCAAGACTGACGGTTGAGCCATTGTGACCTCTACTTTCTGACCCTCTCTATCTCTCATCAGACATACAGAAACCAAATACAGAGTGAGATAGTTGGCAAACCTTTATAATGGTCTGTTTTCAGATTAAACGTCTGGTAAAAGTCCATTTGCACAAATGATTGTTTTCTCTAGGTGTTTTTTTTTTTGTTGATTTCAAATTATCTTAAATGAGAAATATCTGTCAATTATATCCTGCCAACTAACATTCACATAACATATTCATAACTGTAACTTAAACAATTGAACAAAGTAAAGCCACACTAAGATACATTTAGGCATGAGTGTTTTTTTATTTATTATAAAATACATTTATTTACAATTGCAATTTTTCTTGGCCAAAATAATTTAATATTATGTCATCTTGAATAGAACACGATCTGAGGGTGTTTGAGCTATCTCTCCCGTCTCACTATACCGTTATCCTTTCATCCAGAGCAACAGAGGGAGCTCACGAGAAGAAAACAGGAGTTATGAATTATATGAGTTAACCGGAGTGCATGTTCTTATGACATATGCGGATGCAACAAAGGCACAGGGAAGAGACAGATAAAACATGAAACCAAATAAATACACAATTTTAATTATATATGATTTGTCTACGTCCTTTATGCTGCCTCTGGTATTTTCCATAAACACATGTATTTATTATCACAATGGTTAGCATAAGTAGCCTATAAATATAGTTTTGTCTCGCATGTGGTGATCAGAATCCTCATCGGATCACAAACGGAAGTTATTTCAAATACTTTCTGGTGTCTGAAAGTGAGCTTTGAGCTGATTTTTTTTAAATGTCTTAAATGTTGAAGATAGCTGGTAGCCTCATATAATAACATGGGAAATGAGAAGCATTGTGAACCGTCTCCTGACTCACTCTGCCTTTGTTCATCATGACAACTCCTCAAGCCCAGTTGGCTTGCTTTAGACCAAGGTACAGTGGAACACACTGCTAATCTAAACCCTGTCTGTGAATCAGGCCCAAGAGTGCAAAAAAGACACACTCACTCACAAATATGCACACACACACACACACACACCAGATGAATCAAGTTCTGATCAAGCATTCCTGTTAATTTTGTTACATTTTTATTGAATTTTGATGTTCGAATTAATTAAAATCTAAACTTCGATAATAATTCGTAACATTTATATAGCGCTTTTCTGGGTACTCAAAGCGCTTTACATGGAAGGGGGAATCTCTTCAACCACCACCAATGTGCAGCATCCACCTGGATGATGTGACGGCAGCCATATTGCGCCAGAACGCCCACCACACACCAGCTTACTGGTGGAAAGGAGACAGTGATGAAGCCAATCAGTATATATATGGGGATGATTAGGAGCGTAGACCATGATGGACAGAAGCCAAGGGGCAAATTTGGCCAGGATGCCGGGGTTACAGCCCTGCTCTTTTTCGGATTTTTTAATGACCACGGAGAGTCAGGACCTCGGTTTAACGTCTCATTCAAAGGCCACAGGGTGAGCGCCCCCTGCTGGCCTCACTAACACCTCTTCCAGCAGCAACCTGGCTTTCTCAGGAGGTCTCCCATCCAGGTACTAACCAGACTCAGCCCTGCTTAGCTTCAGTGGGCAACCAGTCTTGGGCTACTGGGTGATATGGCTGCTGATAATAATAATCTTTGATCATTTATAAATATACATCCAAATGTAAAATCTAATAAAAGTAAGTAATTATGTCTGAAAACACTGTTTTCAGTAACTAGGGAATATATAGCACATATTCATAAATACGGCTAGGCATAGTGGCTATGGCGTTACAGATGATTTTTCTTTACATGGAAGGGGGAATCTCTTCAACCACCACCAATGTGCAGCATCCACCTGTATGATGTGACGGCAGCCATATTGCGCCAGAACGCCCACCACACACCAGCTTACTGGTGGAAAGGAGACAGTGATGAGGAGACAGTTTATTTTTTATTTTTTTTATTTTTTTCCACCAGGTGGCACTAATCTACCTCCATTCAATAGATTTTAAGTACTTGTGCTCCATTTTTTACTTAAATACTGCATTAATTAAAAAATAAAACGTTTTTTTTATAATGTAAAAATATTTTATATAGAAATAAATGGTCCATAATTTAGTTACAAATCCCCTCAAAATCCCCTCAAAATAACACATCAGTGCACTGCATTCATTTCATAAAAATGAAATTATTATACGATTAGGTCTCAACACGACTGTGACTCCTAAATGAACAATGCCAGAGCAGAGGGTTGTATAAAGAGCCATTTCAATCTAATTAAATATTTAAAAGCAGATTATAAATTGAAACGAATATTGTCTTTGTCTTAAGACTCTGAATTTCATGCCTGGGAAAAGCATAGAAACAAATAGATTTATGCAAATAGCCATTGGGTCTGTGAAAGCGCTATATAAATGCAGTCCATTTAAAATTCCCTGATATGTCCAGGATTTCCATGATCATTAAGGCACAGTTTAGAGGACAACCATGGGAAGCTTTTTTTTTTGGTAGCCAATATGCCCCTTTTCGTAGCCAATACTTTAAAGGGCACCTATTATGCCCCTTTTCACAAGATGTAAAATAAGTCTATGATGTCCCCAGAGTGTCTATGTGAAGTTTTAGCTCAAAATACCAACAGTTCATTTTTTACAGCATGTTTAAATTGTCACTTTTTTGGGGCTCAAAAAAATGCACCGGTTTAGTGTGTATCCCTTTAAATGCAAATGAGCTGTTGCTGCCGCTTAGGGGGCGGAGCCTCACGAGCTCGCGCTCAGTGTCAGGACAATCTCATCTGATAATATCAAAACAGAAACTCTCAGTAGCGTGTTCATTTCGACCCGGGATCGGATAATAATCCCCACAGAGCCAGATAGTATATGCTGTATGGAAATATAACAGGTATTGTCTAGTTTAATTACGTTTATAACATATTTTTATCTTGCCTTTATCCACTATTAGTACAAGCCTGTTGTAGCAGACCGCGTCCGAATGATCGCAAAAAATACTGTGTTCTGTAAGGGCATATTGCAGGTTAGAGGACCCAACGAGTCAATGTATAGAAAAATAATGTAGGAACTAGATTTTCTTTAAAATATACTTATAAATACGCTACAGAAGCTTCAGGAGTCGTTTTTGTGTGAAAATTTTACTTCCGCATCTGAAAATGGGCGTGGCGGGCGTGACGCAACGGGCGGGAGAGCGGTCGATTCAAACAACAGGAAAACAATGGATAATATTTAAACAATCTGAGTAATTTTGTTTTTCAATTACAAGTTGCCTCTATCTACCTATATCACACTATTTGATGCCATTGGTACAGTATAAGACGATCAATATTCTTGCTTCGGCATCCCACGATGAACTCCATCATATCGCCGGGATGATAATCCTCCTATCTGAAGTGAACGCTACACATGACCGCGTTTTTCGAAGCCGATGCGGAAGAGAAATCCCATCTCTTCACCTGCACAAACCGCACCAGGCACGAAAGATATATAGCACCGTCCTTTTTCTTGTTATGGAAACCTGTGGACTCGATGTCCTGACAGGCGGGAGTTTTTGCAACCTCCACAAACACAATAATTTACCATGACGATGATAAATTGAAATACAAAAACTACCTAAAACACACTGACTCACGGCCGCTCTTACTGAATACCAGCCTACTCTGCACTGAGCCGAGGCTGAAGCTCCCTGGCGTGACGTAAAATGACGCGATGTTGAAAAATATTATTAATTTTGATTTTTTTTTACCTGCTATAGGCTCTATGCACGATCGCTTCCGTGTTTAGTCTCAGCCCGCCCAGTTACATCCGGTGCTGCGTCGCAAGCCGTTTTTGCATTAGGTGGAGATAATGCAAATTACACTCGCTGTTTACAAGAACTTCCAGCGGTTAACATGAATGATGTTAACAATATTGTGAGGCAGTTAGCTGTCACACATAAGAGTAAGAAAGAGAAGGGCATTAAATTATATATTTCGAGCTACATCGACAACTTTGAGGGTGAGTAATCTCTAATATCATGGGAAATCCGACTAGCGAATCAGTTTCTAAAATTGTTGTCTCGTTTCTGAGAAAATGAATTTTATTAAAGTTTGGCCGCTAGTACACTTCGCTATAGAACGCACTATGCGGAGGTAAAGACACTGACTGATTCTACCGGAAATACGTCAGCAGCGTTCGTGCATAGTACATATGTTCATTCTTACATCCAGCCGTATACACTTCGCTATAGAACGCACTATGCGGAGGTAAAGACACTGACTGATTCTACCGGAAATACGTCAGCAGCGTTCGTGCATAGTACATATGTTCATTCTTACATCCACCAACAAAACACCTCAATCGATTTAGAAGACATTCTTGTCTACAGCTTGCTCCGAAACAATCGACTGTGTTTAGCTCACACAGGGCGGGTCTATGCTAATATGGCAGTGTCCATCAACAGTCGTGGGCGGGGCTTGTGCTAAAGTATGTCACATTGCCCATAATCTGAGAAGGCTTGCTCTAAGACAGTGCTTATGATTTATGGGGATAAATCCACTGGGTGGATTTTTATCATTATAGGGTGGTTCTGTACACAGACTGCCAACACACATTTATGTTCAAACTCCATGTAAAAGTGAATTTTGCATTAAGTTGCCCTTTAAGGTACGTGCCTAGAAATTATCCTTCAGAAATAGTAATATCCTGAAAAAAATTCCCCTGTCAAATCCATTTTATAAAAGTGCAGGCAATCTGATGAATTGATATAGCCTATAGGCTATATTATGACATTATGTGATGACTTGGAGAGGCTGGTGCGCTTTCCATCCTGCATCCCTGCGGCTCCAGGTGCAGAGTCCCGCCCCTAATTTCTGCAATGTGACGCTAGGCTCACTCAGTGCTCCACAGTCTTGCCTGGTCACCGGGAAAAGGGGTTTGGAAGGCTGCTTCAGTAGTCATCCAGTCTGCAGTGCGCATGCGCGGCGCTGCAGCGGTGTTTCCGTGTTGAGTGGAGGAGATGAGAAGGGAGAGAGAGAGAGAGAGAGAGAGGATAGAGGGAATTCGAGACGCAGCGGGACGCCGAGTCAGAATATACGGACACCCCACAAACGCTAATAATAAAAAAATATAAATCAACGCTCACAGCTCAAGCCTTTAGCCATGGAGGATACGGTGAAAAACACTTTAAAATGTGAGCTTTAAAGAGAGGTGCTGCAGAAACGAGCGAGAGCGGCTTTTCCCCCTCATCATCCACGGCTGATCTCGACTCATGTGCTCCCGTCCTCCTCCGTCACTCGCACCGGAGCGAAAAATGAAGAAGTTTAATATCCGTAAGGTGCTGGACGGCTTGACGGCCGTGTCGTCCCCTTCTCCATCCCCGCAGCTCGGGGCCAAGGAGAACGAGCTCATCCCGGAGACGCTTCAGTCTGAACACTTCCAGCTCTGCAAGGTGGGGAAGCTTTCAAGTGAATATGTAACGTCACCTAATGTGGCTTTTTCTCTAATAACGCAAGTGCTTTTTCCTCACGCAAGTGCCACTGTTTAACACTTTATCCCCAGACTTATAGAATACAGGTAACGTTTGCCTTTTCTGGTTCGAAGATGTGATGCATCATAACGTTGTAATAGAAATGTTATATATAAATATACATATATATCTTTATGGGAACGTTATGATGTCAGTCGTATTTTTATTTTATTTTCTACAAACCATTAGTGTCCAATATATTTTGGTTGCGCAGCAATGGAATGTGTTATTTTTTTTTTTTTTTTTTTTTTTTTTGTTACATTAAAACGCTCCTACAGCCTGTGTTAGGCTATATGCACATTGTACTGTCCTAGGCTACTCTGCATCCTCAAACCAAGACTAAATTGTTTTTTTTTTTTTTCCACAAGCTGTGCGTGGAAAGAGCTGACTCTGTGTTTGGAAAATGCGCACAAATGCGTAAAATATTCATGCGTGACACAGAGATTATTTTATAACCACACGGCTGCTTTTGCTGTTCATATCTTCCGCTTTTCCCTTTATAGTGTTCTGTGTTAGACATTCTACTTTATTGAAGCGTCCGAATCATGTGTGGTTATAGAATGAAGCTGTGATGTTTGAGTGGAGGGAGGGGGGATAAACAACCCATTTCTTGCATAATCTACTGTGCTGGGATTAACATTTCATTTGCAATGTTGGGGCTTTTTTTAAACCCTTAACCTTTTTTTTATCTTGAATATCTTTTTGAAACCACCACACACACGTTGTGTATCTAAAGAATTTTTTTTTTGCCCATCATAGGTGCCCTAAATGTTGCCTAGGTTGGTTTTGAGACACAGCTAGTGTGTCCACTGTGTCATGAACAGGCCTAGTTGAAGTGTTGCTGAGTTTAGCTGCCCTCTCTGGATTAGATCTGGTAGCACAATGGATGGAGTTAATAGTTCTCAGAGAAACGGGTAATCTGTAGAGGTTTCTCTCTTCTTCTGCAATATTAGATTATGAGCCCACACACGTATGTGTGGAAACTGTAAGAGAATGACAGTATTGCAGATGTGATCGGCACATTGATTTATTTCCGATTCATTTAGTCAACCTTGTTACAGGCAGGTAACCTTGTTATGACAGTAGGTGGCGACTTTGTAGTAAGTGCATTTTGTAGTGAGTCATTGAATCAATCACTCAACCGATTCGTTTAAACACAGTCGTTCACAAACTTATCCTATATTCAAATTTGTGTCTACAGATCTGCTGTGACGCTAAGAAATAACAGTTGAGAGCATAACTGTCATTTTATCCTCCAATTTGTCTACTGCTAGGCAGTTAAGCTAAAGAAAAAGACTACAATATTAATTAAAATAAATTTCCATTCATCGTTTCCAGCAGATAATCACGTTAATTTAGTTAGTTTATAAAGGAGATTTCTCGTTCAGTCCGAACAGCGACTCGTTCATTGAAGGGGGTGTGTTCGTTCACTGGTCCAACCAATGAAACGCTTCTTCACAATCTGCACACAAATCCCATTTGCTAGCGCTGTTGTCAGTCTTTGAAGGCGGAAAAGAGAGAAAAAAAACACAACTTATATGAATCAATGCCGTCTAATGATTATTTAATGGAGTATGTTTTTAAATCAATTTCACATGTAATAATTTCAAGAACAGGGTATTATCTTTAATGATTCTTTTATCCAGGGCTACATTATTTTTAGCGTTCAGCTAAGCGTTCAGTTTTTTAGAAAAAATGGTCATGAACTATATGGATACAGTTGTTTACCACTCTTTAATGAATCATTTGCGATGAGGTTACGTGAGTGCATTCACACTGGTCTTTTTGTCAGGCCTAAATTAAATAGATGTTTATAAACGCTGGATTAGTTTAATATTTAATTTATAATTATTGAAAAGAGAACTGAGAGAGATGGGGAAGGATGGACTGAAGCTTGTTGCTGCTGTACAGCTCGCCGACAGGTACTCGTCCCCGCGTGCGCCACTTACGTAACCCGCTTTAGCCACTAAACAAACATACAGAGACGGAGAGAGGCTGTGTCTCAAAACCTATTCAGCTGCCTGACTAGACGGCATTATAGGTGCGCCTTTGATTCTCAGCAATGCTATCTATGTAGGCACCCCCTAGGATTTAAAACACACACACACAGAGAGAGAAGAGAGAGAGAGAGAGAGAGAGACGCTGACAGCTGTTAAGCAGAGGCCAGTGCTGTAAACCTGTAGCCAACCATTGTTGTTCTCTGGATACAATGCAGCAAGGCCTCTGTTCTCACTGCCTGTTGTTTTTGTCTATCTATAGCACATCAGAGTTGTTCGAGCAATTCAAAGGCCTGGGCATTAAAATAGTTGGAAATATTCAGCTGAAACTGACATTAAATTGATATCGAATTGTCCCTGAAGGGAATTTTGACTCCTTGGTGCTGCACAAATACGCAATGCTTTGTCACTCTCCTTCAAATCATTATATAAATAATACGGTTAGAGCGTAAATAATAATATCATGTAAAACCGGTGTTATTTTAGTATTTTGTACTATTATAGTATTATTTTTATCATTTCAGTTTTTGTTAATTTATGTTTAGTTTTTAGTAAATATTTATGTGCTCTTTTGAAATATATATTTCTATTTAGCTTTCATTTATTTTAGTTGTAGTAATTTTAGTACTTAAATGTTTAATTTCCGTTCAAGTTTTATAAGTTTACGTTTTTTAATATAATATTTTATTTTATCTTTATTTCAATTGCTGAAAATGATTTCTTATAATTTTAGTCTTAGTTACGAGCACCACCAATGTTTGAACATCATGCGCAAAAATAGAGAGATAAATAATTCAAGTAAATACATTGTAAAATATAATTCAAATACCTTCTAAAATACACTATACCATTTTAAATAGTTTAGTTGCAGACTTAAATGTTGAAGTTAATTAGTGGTTATACCACTAAACTTTACATTATGTGCTTTTTAAAACTTTTTTTCTCTTCTGATTTGATCCTCAGACTGTGCGCCATGGCTTCCCCTATCAGCCGTCCTCTATGGCATTCGACCCTGTCCAGAAAATCCTTGCCATCGGGACTCAGAGCGGAGCTTTGCGATTGTATCCTTTTTACAATGGAAATTAAATAGTGTGTGTGCTCTTTTTCAGGTGCACAGTGAACCTGTCAGTAAGTATTTCATTTCTCTATCAGTTGTGTTATCAGGTGTAAGCTGTTACTACTTGTGTGTTATGGATTGTCATTACTAAGCTCATGACAAATTCATTGGGACATAAATGACCCACTGTTAGTTTTGCCTTTCTGAAATGTGACTACATTATGCTGCACCACAACATAACAAGCTTCATGCTTTAAAGTGATGCCAGTTGTTGTGCTTAACCGAGTTGATCCGCTGTCATGGCTTGTCAGTCATAAGTCTTTTGTAAAAGGCTGTTTATTGTTACTGGATTGGGATTTAGGATCAGTAAGGCACATAACATTAGTTCAGTGACTCTCTCATCACCCTCATGATGGAATCCTAGTACATAAAGTCAGTTATTAATTATACTGAACTGAACAAGTCACTAAGGTCTATTCCCACCTCAGAGACTGTAAAGAACTTCCTGTCTAATCAAAATCTCCATTCACACTGTATTCAAATAGATGGCCTTTGATTTTAAAATGAATTTCCACGTTCCCTGATTCATTCGTACACACAGAGGCTTGACATTACTTTTCACAGTCAGTGATGCTCTAATTGAAAATATTTCTTCTGCCGTCACTACAGGATAATTTGCTGTCAGTCAGGTCGGTAGAAGAGCTCGCTTGACATCTCCCTTTGTCAGATGTTGAATGATACTGGTGGAAGTTGATGCATGTGGCGGCTCTTCAGAGAACAGCCTCTTTAGAAACTGATCGTCTTTGCTCTCTGAGGATATCGGTGTTACTTAGCCCCTTTGAGCGACTGTGATCAGATAAATGTTGGCTGCCGTGAGATGAGGGCAAATGAAAATCTCCCTAAGAGACTCCGAATTGTGATTAGTGCAACCGTCCTTTGTTTCTTTTGTCACGTCTCATCCCTAGCTATCGGCAATGCAAAAGGAATCTCGGGATTCAGCTGAATGCATTGGTATGAATGAAGTCTTACCTTTGATTTTGTGAACAACTTTGGTTACTGTTTTGCCATACTAAACTACAGAGTATCTGAGTTAGTTGACAAATCTTGGCCTGACTAGCAAAACTGTGACTGATTTAGGAAATGCTGATATTTCTGGTCAGATATGGTACAAATTGTATTTGCAATGTGATCTCATTCATATTTGTAAATATTTCTTTGTAAATGTGTACATGTATATTTTCACTTGTTTGGATAGACACTGAAACTGCACAAACAGTTTCCAGATTGTAAAGCCATGTAGGTACACTGCTGTTAAAATGTTTTCGTTTTATTTTTATTTTTAATTAATACATTTATTCAGCAAGGACAAGGGGTTAAACGGATCGTAGTTGATCAGCTATCCGTACGGACCAGGCCCCACAGTTCGGCATGCATGTGATTCGCGAATTAATTGCAAAGTTAAACCATCATTGTGAAAGTTTATGATTTGCACGTGTTTTGTCTTGCCAATTTACACATTCAAGTGATTTTTAAACCATTCCAGCGCAAGAAGAGGCAAAAGAGAATTTACAGAGAGGTGCGCCAACACCTAATTGATTCCTCTTTCGCATCTCCTTGCACTTGAACACACACATACACACAAAATTATTTCAAAATATCTGTCTCAGCAAGTATTCTCATGAACACAATGGGTTATGTTGATTTACAGAGAGATGCGTTTCAGGCAGTGCACCAACACCTAATTGATTCCTCTTGAGTTTTCTTATCTGTTGAACCACTAGCAAGGATGATAAATTGATCAAGTGTCAGAAGACTTTTACATGGTTACAAACAATTTCTGTTTCAAATAAATGTTATTTTGAGATTTCTATATTTATCAAAAAATTCTGGAAAATATATATCACAGTTTCCACCAAAATATTAAGCAGCACAACTGTTTTCAGCATTGATAATATGAAGCATCAGCATACACAAATCAGCTAATTAAAATGAATTCTGAAGGATCATGTGACACTAAAGACTGGATTGTTGGTTGCTGAAAATTCAGCTTTGCCATAACAGGAATAAATTATATTTTTTAAATATATTAAAATAGAAAACAGATATTTTAATCGTTTATAATTTCAATTACAATTACAATTACAATTGAATAGTTTGATTAAATAAATCCAGACGTGAGCAAAAGAAGCTTCTTTAATTTGAATAAAATCAACCTATAAAAAAAATAAAAATAAAAAAGTTTTCGATTTTTCTTACATTTTAATCTCTGATCAAATGTGTGAAATTGTAAATGTGCTAGAAGCACAATTAAGGTATGAATGAATACCAGTGAGATCACATTGGTATTTGTAGCTCATGCTACGGTGTGTATTTGTTACTGCGTAGCACTGTTCAGATCTGTTTTGCAGTTGTGTAAACTTCTCCCCAGTTGAGAATGACTGAAAGTGGCAGATCAAGAGACCAGAATGGCAGAATCCTGGCAAAATCATCCAGAAGATTAGAGCAGTGGGAAGGAGAGGAGAGTCTTCAGTCTCAGGCCAGCGGGCAAATGCGCTGCGATCCCAAAAGCGTTCTGCTTCCCACAGCTCGCTTCAGACTGCAGAAAGTGACATGACAGTCAGATGTTAAAAAAGACCAGAGACAGAGAGAGAATGTACTTTTCATGCTCTTGCAGTAAAAGTGGAGTGTGTAATTTCTGCGGCACCAAACAAAACACTCCCACTGTCACCCATTGGTCATCTAAACATATAGTCCCACCCCTAAACTCACACCATTGGTCAAGCCAATGTTTTGATACTGCCACAGATTTTGTTACACACTTCTGCTTTAAACAACCTTTCATAGGCTATGAAAAGCCATATATTGTTATTAGTGGTCTGACATTTGAATAATTAAATTGCGGGTGGTGAAGCGGTGGTTATTGTGTAGCAGAGAGTTTTAGGTGGTCCCTGTCCTTTGCGAATTGTATTTTCAAGCACAGTGGAGAGAATGGCAGGCTCATAACTCAACTAGCCTCGTGGGCCCCAAGACTTTGCAACTTGCATGCAGATCTATTGATCAACCTTTCCCACACACACACACACACTCGCACACATACTCACACAGACATGCACAAAGTGGTGTGATGACCTTATGGTAGAGCAGATACATTTTAAATAGTCTCCTGAGTAATTTATTTACACTTCCTTGGCTGCAGTAGACATTGAGATTGTTGGTTGTTATGCACAAATATGTCTCCAACACTGATTGCTGACAGTCATAATCACTGTAATTTAGAATATAACCCACTATGAGTCTGATCATTTTATTCACAATGATCATCTCTTCAAATTTAATGAAGGGTATGTATTTCTAAGGAAGACGTATGTCACAATGTTCAAGCCTCTTCCCTATTATACTGTAGGTTGCAGATTATTGAAGAGATCACGTTTAGGGATTGTAATGAACACATTTGAATAAAATATCATACAAATATAGGAAGGCTGTGTCTGAAACCTTGCAGCTTCGCCACCCAATCTGACAGTATTTTTATATGAAGATACCTTATCTCATCATAATATCACATCTAATGATGTAGAACAAATTCAAGTGACATAACCAAGCCAATATTTAAAGACTAAAACACTTATTTCTCTTTAGAAATGAAGTCATAAGTTGACCATTGAATGCTGGCATTTTGTTACATAGGATCTGCATCTGCATACTATAAAAGCCCATTTCTATCTTAGAGTAAAAAAGGTCAAATAAGAAACATATTTGTGACATATTAAGTCACAATTATGAGTAATAAATGTTCATTTTTTTTATAGAAAATGTGCCACCATAGGAATAAGTTACATTTTAAAATATATTAAAGTAGAAAAGTTATTTAAAATTGTAATAATATTTTAGATATAAATGCAACATTGGTGAACATAAGAGACTTGCTGAATGGAAACAGCATTTTTCAGCTTATGGACACTGCTGGAAAATGGATATCGTCTTCACATCAGCTTCAAATGAACCTCATCTTGTATCTAATGACCAATAGTGGTGATGGTAAACTTGCTGAGAATGGTGGAACTGGTGAGATTTATTAAAGATGTGTCCCATAGTATGATTCAACTTGAAATATGAAATATACTAGCTGCGACATGGCTGTGATGGTTATTTATGTGCGTTAGGGCTTGTGACTTGTTTTACTTTGTGTGTCTGGGATGTAGAGCTGAGCCTAACACACACACACACACGCACACACACACACACACACACACACACACACACACACACACACACACACACACACACACACACACACACACACACACACACACACACACAGACATTGCCTGAGGATGCCTATGCCACTTCTTACGTAATCCACAGGAGCGAGGCTCATCATCTGGAGAGCTTGGCAGCAGTGTGTGTGTGTGTGTGTGTGTGTGTGTGTGTGTGCACGTTTGTGTGCTGTGATCGGCTCAAGCAAAGGAGTTTAAGTCTGTCCTCTCTGCCATAATGGCACAGCAGCGGCCGCCTATGATTGAGTGTGTGACTGTATAACTTACGGTACTCTGTAGCTGCAGAAAGGGCCACCAATACAGACCTAAACAAATCTGATCAGATTCACCAGGCACTCAAACCTCACTGCATTAGGTATATAACGGTACAAGGAAGAACACAGTACCTGGTGCTTTTTGAAGAAATTATTTTATTTTATTTTATTTTTGCACAATAACCATATTAGGAATGTGCAAAAATAGATATAGAGTTAGAGTAGCTAGTAACTGTTTAGGTTAGTCCTGCAAAATTTTGCAGGTTGCGGTCTTTTATGTTGACCAGACATCATGAGACAGGTTTCTTAAAACCTAGATGGAGTGCAACAGAACTGCATCCAGAGGTTTTGAGATGGATTTTTGAAAGTTTAAATAAGTTTTTGACTTGACAAATCGTCTTAATGCGACTCCCATAGCGAGAGACATGCACTTGTATTCTGACAGTAATTGTCTTGAAATTTATTGTTGAACT